TTTTTGGGTTGGATTAAACTTTACCATATAGAGGGTAAAATTTAATTGACTTCTTTTCTTCTCGTATTGTATTTTTGTAATTACACTTGAAAATGGCGTATGGCAATACCCCAATATTTTACAAATATAAGAAATTCCCGTCCTGTGCTCATTCAAACAGCCGAGGATGAATCACAAGCTCACTGTGTGGCTTCATTTGCGTACAGTTCCTGGAGATAACATTACTTAATAGATCAACAGGTGGAATGCCTCCTTTTTAGCAAACGGTTTCCAATGAAAAACAAGCCACTATCGTATGGTGCTTTTTATCGTTTCTGGTAATTGCCAATGTCCCTTATGTCAACCACATCAGGAAAGCCAGACCCACAGGACCTCTCCGTGGATGTGTCGCCATTGCCCCACCTGCAACGAATCCCGCACCGACAGGTCCATTCTGTCCTGAATTCCTCTCGCCGGCCAAGTATGAACCCAGACCTATACCGTCGTAAGTTTCGGCTATATTCCGTGTCCCTGGACTTCTGGAACACGACTCCCGGAACAGTGCAGTTTGAACCACAAGTTTGAAAAAGGGGCCCAGAGTCCAAAGAGACCTGCTTTTCGAAAAAGAAATTATGCCAGGTTCAATTTCATTTAAAGAAATTGATAATGTAGCGCATTTATAGTTGCTGTGGAAAATACTTCCACTTCTGCTACAGAAGATACAGGCGCCAAAGTGGCTGTTTCCCCAAAAATGACAATCCATTTTTGTTCATCTGTTAAAAGGAATCCCCACATTCCCCAAGAAGTAGATTGTACTGTTTCTAAAATATTGCCATTTTCCGAGAGAAAATGGCATCATTACGTTAGGGGAGCTGCCACCACCCAATCTCGATACACCACCGCCCCTTTCGGAAGTATGGTCTTGCAGGGTGCAGACCACTAATTCAAGTGAGAATTTCTGGCCAGCTCATTAGCATTAAAAGTGCCCCCTTCCACAGTATCTTTTGAAAAAGGAGATTGTTTCGCCCCCAAAATGGTGAGATTGTGTAAATCGTTGCCAGTATCAACTCCGTGGGTCTTTGAGCTTTCACATGAGAGCAGAAGGGCTAAAAACTACGGTTGAAAAATGGTCTTAAGTGCCCGAGAAAGTTGAGGGTTGCCACTTGGAAAATGGCTGCAATCGGACTTCGGAAAAATCTCTTTTGG